TGCTGCGATCGATACAGTCTGTGCTGCCGAGTCCGGAGCCCAACGGCCCAAAGGATGTGCCGGCGAACCGTCAGTACGTGTTCAGCCGCGAGCTCTACACCCGTACGGCCAGGTATTGGACTTATCATTACGCCATGAATGACGAGACGCGCAAAACTGTCGACAAAAACCAATTTAAAGAGTTTAAGGGAAAGATCCAGAAAGTGATGGCCGCGAAGAGCATAGACCACGACAGCGCTCTCGATCTCCTTTCCGGTAATGATTGGGATCTGAATAAAGCCCTCAATTGACACAACCATTACAACAAAAGCAAACATTGTTTTAATAAAGAGTTGTTAAACAAATCGTCGCTTTCTATTAGAAGACAATTGTATTTTGAATTATATGTTTTCTTAAATAAATGAATGTTTAATTAAATTCAATAAACTTTAATCAATTTTTGTGCGTAAAAAGCATTAATCCAAAGGAGAAATGTTGGAAACAATATTTCAAACGCTGAGACAATTGACGCAATGAAGAGACCAAAAACCCATAAATAAAAGAGATCACAAACTGATCCCAAAGTGAGTCCATTGAATGCAAATAACGGCTGTTTTTGCAATTCATCCACACTTTGTCTAATGATTGGTGTTTTTCGTCCATAAAAGTGCAACATTTCCCGAACCCAATGCCCGTAAATATCAGACTCTCTCACAGATAAAATCCTATAAATTAAATCAATTATAAAATGGTTAAAACAACATATTTGTTACGAAAAACAATGTAAAATGTACACAAAATTAATAATATTACATACATTTGATTGAAACCATTTGTGATAAACTGCTGGCAGTCGGAGTTAAACGCCATGAAAAACGGGGCAAATTCACTGCCATATCGGGACACGTGTAGCACATCCTGAAGCGCCGGACCCCCGACCCTATTATCAATCTCTACCAAATGAAATAATATAAATATAGCCGTCAGCCTATTTGTGGTCATGGCGTACGACCCGGACATTAGGCGCCGCAACATTTGCAGCGCAAACTTAATTGATAGCCAACCAGTCGTTGAGTACAAAATCATACGGTCGTTAATAGCCCGGGCCAGTGGGTCAGTGGCCGACTCTTTCATTACATAACTGTATAGTGAACTAACGTTAGACACATATAACCGCATATCGTCCCACTCTGTCAGCTCCCGGAGTGAGTCCACCGCTAGTGTCGGTACCGATCTGTGCATATAGTCGAGCAAAAAGCTGGTAAACTCTATGGACAGCACCAGAGCTGACACTAACCACACACCAATCACCAGCGCCGGCGACAACCGGTGCCGTAATTTTTGTAAAAAGTTTTGCAATGATTTTTGGTATAATATATTGGAGAGATTCCATGCGCTTTCATATAGCCGTTTAGGACAGGTATCTCTGTGTCGGCCTTTGGGGGTAGTGTTGCCGCACCCGACGCTTAACACAACGGCCAACACAACTAGCGATACGAATACAGCGAGCCATACATTGGGTGCGAAGCATGTGAAGTACGAAAACATGGTAAATGGGGTGCCGAGCCGTGTCCGGGCCACTATCACATTTTCATCAAGGTAGTCGACCACGGTGGTGGCCTGGTAGTTTAAATGATATTTACGCATACCATCCAAGTATGGGATAATTTCGGATGCGATCCATGGCGTGAGTATAATGTCCGGCAAACCGGCGGACAATTGTTGCCTAAAATCTTGCCGCGAAACCGGCGGTCGTTTCAACACTAGCCTATTAATTGACATATGAGTAGTAATTAATTTAGTAAATTAGTTTTTAATGCACAGTGTATTTAATTTGTGCTTGGTTATACAACTAAATTTGTTGTCAATTGTTAAATAACTTACGATGATTTTTGTCGTATTGCAAACTCAACCATTAATTTTATTAATGGACCGCAAAT